AGTTGGATTCGAGCGAATCTGGCTCCAGCGATGGGGAACCTGACGGGGTGAGCGAGAAGAGCGTCGACTCCAACTGGAGTGACGGAGACACAGATGATGGTGTTGCGGATCTCGTAACCGACATCTGGAACTGAGATCCGGCTACTCCTTCAGGCAGGTACACATATCGTTCCTTGGGATTGGGATTGGGGATGTCGTGCGGCATTATTGCACGTCAGATCTCCACGTCGTACCGAAATTTCGTGTGGTCTGATTTATTCTAATTCCATGTTTCAATGACATATTTCGCGCGTCCCTGTTAGTGGTTGAACAGGTCCGTCCGTGCTGCACTTCCGTTGGATGCACCCGTCCACGAAATACAACGACCCCAAATTACGAGATATCAGACGGATGAACATCGCGCGCGTTTTCTCCCCTGTATTTCCCTACCCAGTTGCGCAGAGAGGTGGACGGGGGGGATTATTTTTCGGCCGCGCTGGGTGTCCGTTGTTTATTGGCACAGAATATTGTTAGTCGCAAACTGCCTGAAAGGTACGGGGGTGCTGTGTGCGTTCCGGGCCTGCCTGTGTCGTTTGTACTGACTGTAAATAACGTGTTTGTTGTTTCCTTTAGTTCGGGCATGATGTTGATAGGTGTGGGCAACCCGGGGGGGGCAGTCTTGTGTGCGGTGTTCGTGTGTAAGTATTTCCTCGCGTTTTCGACACACCCAATGCTCAGTGCGTACAATGTAGTCGTATGCTTTGAGAAAAAGCACTTCAACAATTATAATGTGTATATATTGCCGGCCGTGCTTGCCTGCGTGCGACGATAGATAGCACAAGGTTATCAGTGACCAAGTTCCCTGTTAGTGTAGCTGCCGTGATACTGTCGCTACTTCATCCTCATAGTTTTTTTGCTCCGGGATTCCGGAGAGTTGTACTGCTGGGTGAGGGCCCCGAGTCAACAGGCACAAGTGTGTGCGGTGCAACACTGCAGCAGGAGAGGGGGGCAACCCAACAGCAATAATTTCAGTTCAAATCTAGCTGACGCCATTCAAGAGTACTCCACGTGTAGTACGTCTTGCAGCACCATTCCAAGTGCTGTACATTTGCAAGATCAGCAGCTAACATTTCCAATGCTCGGTGTTGCCGGCGGCGTGGCAGAAAATAAGCATGGTGCCTGTATGTTAATGCAAGTTTCAACTTCATCTGTGTCTACCTCTTGATTCCCGCCACCAATCAAGTTCAACCCTTCTGCAATATACTCTATGGTGTTCAGTCCATCGTTTCCTCAAAAGTTGGTGGCGATTGATGCTGTAGTGGGCGCGTTCTTGTGCTTGGTCACTTTGGCGGGTGCACGGCAGGGTGGTTGCGCCGCGTAGATAACGAGTCTCACATTTTTTAGGGGGGGGGCTGCGTGTTGCGCCGACAAGTTTGAAGCCTACAGTGGACG